ATCTTAGTTCTCCATTTTGCTCTATTAAAACTATATCCTCAGTGAGGCCATAAGTCTCTATATCTTATCCGACTACTTCCAACCATGTCCTTTTGGGCCTACCCTATGCCATTTTCGGTCCTTCCACACCTCCTAATTGGTGTTGTACTTAGTTAGCGCCACCCCACCCATGGCCAGCCACCTAAGTCTACTCTCTCGTATTTTATCGCTTATTGGCCTAAATACTCATGAATATATTCATTTGAAATTCTATTCCTTCTTATCTTGTCACTCATCCATCTCAACATCCTTATCTGCGCTACACTCATTCTATGGGTATATTGTTTTTTGTTCGCTCAACATTTTACCCAATAGAGCAAAGCTGGTCTAACCGCTGTCCTATAGAACTTGCCCTTCATCCTCTATGCGGCGATCACATAAAATTTCAGTTGCATATCTCCACTTTGCCTACCCAGCTCTAATTCTGTGTGCGACATCTTCTATATCTCTCCATTTTCCTGGATTATCGACCCAAGATACTAAAAGTGTGGTTTATATATATATGGGTGCGGTTTGTATAGAGCCGAGGCTCTAAACAATCAAATTAGAGCCCACCTTCAAATATTGTCCGAAAATGTGGTTTCAATACATAAAATCTTTGTGATAACCTTAAAGTATATTTTCATCTTTAATTATAAAATTTAAAACTTAAAAAATAATGTAGATCGAGCAGATCTATGAAAACTTGAAAAACTTGAAAATTGATGGTCCAAAAATGCATTACAAGATGCTCTATTCTCAAACTTGAAATCTATTTTTTTCTCATGTCCATGCATCTTGATGTCGAGATGATCATTATGAGAATATTTGGGCATCAAAACAACTTATTCTAGTGAAATTTTTGAGGTGTGCTCTAATTTGATGGTTTAGAGCCTCTGCTCTATGCAAACCGCACCCATATATATCTATATATATATACACACACAAACACACACACACATACACATACACACACACACACATATGTGTGTGTGTGTATATACATATATATATATACATATATGTATATAAACTACGCTTTTTCCATTTCCCCGTCTTAGTTTTATTGGTGAAAGGACTCCCCTTTTTGTCGCGGATGACTTCGCTCATGTTTTTGTCTTCTTAATACATGGCTAAAGCTTTATCAGACTTTGGGATGCCAGAAAGAGCCTCGAATTTGATATATTTGAGCCATTTCTATGTGAAGAAAGTTCAAATGGGATGATTGCTCCGTTTAATGCAGCTGACGATATATCATAGTTTCAAAATTGTCGCATTTGCAGGCAAATTTATGTTAGATAGCATTTTAAGTAGTCACAAGTATACCAAGGTGCAAGAAGTTTTGTATATTTGCGGTAATATCCATGTAAAAGAAAATATATGTATGAGGATTTTACTTGTTCATGAAGACAACAATGTGACAAAGTTCCTCAAATTTTGTATATTTGTAGCAATTTCCATGTGAAAAAAATTAAGGATTATACTGTTTAATGCAGTTGAGAAACAAGCTTAAGGCCGAAGCCCTTGAAACCCATTCGGAAGGTCAACAAAGTTTGACTGATGATGTTGGGGGTGTTTTTGGAGGACGATTAGTTGGTGAAGGAAATCAAGAAAGAGAAATCAGTCAAGGGGATTTCAACTCAAAGTGTGAAGTTCATGAAGGTTTAGACTGGGAGGATGGAAATATTTCCTTTTCCAATACGGAAGTTCCTTGTATTCCTGAAACTTTAGAGCAGGAGGTGATTGTTGAATTTAGTGGTACCCCATCTTCTGCAAAAAGGCAAAATGTTCGTAGAATTTCTGCGATAGATAAGGTACTTTATAGAGTGATGCATCTTAGTTTACTTTACCACAACATTTTCGTGCTTCATATGATCAATAATTTCCCATATTGAATAAACTGATAACTCTTTTACAGGAACTAGTCGAGCTTGTACACAAGGTTCATTTGCTATGTTTACTTGCAAGGGGAAGGTTAGTTGATGCTGCTTGTGATGATCCTCTAATTCAGGTGATCCCTTTTATTATCATTTGGGAGACACTTATTTCTATGTTTCTTTATTGTTGTTGTCAACTTTCCTTTTGGTATCGTTCAATGCGCATGAGAAATGGATTGCTATGTGTTTCTTTTTATAGTTGTTATTTATTAGATTATGTTTTTTCCTTCCATGAGAGGAATGCGATTTTAAGTTTCATGCTACAATTTCCTTGTTTTTGCAACAATTCTTTGAATGATATAAGTTTTGCGTACTTTCTATATCTATTTATTTGAGATCGGTTGGGCTAGCATACACTTCGCATGCATGTGTGTGTGCATGTGTGCGTGTTTGTGTGTGAGTAATGAGTCTTTATATTTTGAAACATCATAAGGAGCTCCTGTGTGTGTGTGAGTAATGAGTCTTTATATTTTGAAACATTCTATGGAGCTCCTCTGTGTGTGTGTGTGTGTGTAAGTGTGAGTTATGAGCCTTTATATTTTGAAACATTATATAGAGCTCCCAGCTTGTGGGAAGCCTCATTTTTGACCTATTTACTCTCTTTAATAGTATAGAAACGTTAATCTCTTCAAAAAATGGCTCACTATTTGTAGCCAGTATGGAGTGTGAGTTATGGGTCTTATATTTTGAAACATTATATAGAGCTCCCGGCTTGTGGGAAGCCTCATTTTTTGACCTATTGTACTCTCTCTCTTTAATAGTATAGAAACATTAATCTTTTCAAAAAATGGCTCACTATTTGTAGCCGTGGGTATGGGGGAGTGCTTTACAGTTTGCAACTACACATTTTCTTAATTATATTTTTCTCTGGCTAATCAGGAATTTACATTTCTCTTTGACTGTTTACAAGATCTTTATGTCTTGCAGGCTTCTTTGCTCTCTCTCCTACCTCCCCATTTACTGAAAATTTCTGAGGTCCAAAAGCTAACTGCAGACCTATTGGTTCCACTTGTTGAATGGGTACTAAGTGTTGCTTCTACTTGAAAGGGTCTTGCTGCCATTTGTTTTCATAATTTCAGATATTCATAGGTTTTAAAGGAACTTTATTGAGTGCTACCCTCTACGTTTTGCAGTTTCGTGCGAATTTTCATGTCCGAAACGAATCCATCGAGAAGATGCCCTTCAAGGAAAGTCTGGCAGCTGCCATTGAGACGCGTGAAGGAACCCCTGAGGAGGTAGCTTCTCCTTTTGATAGGACTCTGCTGAGAGCTTGAAATACAAGATATAAATTTGTCAAATGATATTATTTCCTTGCTATAAGGAAATTGTGTTTCAAGAAAAGTTAGGATAAGTTTGACACGATTACACATTTATAAGCATTTGACCATTGCTATAACAACTCATGCATTTTACAGTCAGTTCTGTTTAACTGTACTGGAATCTAGTAGCATTCACCACATGATATCTTTCAAGAAAAATAGCCCTTATAATTCTGCAGAAAAGAAAGATAGAAACCTGGGTAGTTTATCCATGTCTAAATAGGACTAGAATTAAATTATCAAAAAAAGAAAACAAAAAAGAAACGAGAATAATATACTCTAGCAATAACTGATTCCTTCACTGTGCATAATTGATTAGCTTTTCTTTTTCCCTATTAATGGTGGGTAAAATTCTTATAGTTGCTCTCCATTCTCCAAATAATACCACTTTTGAGGGAGCTCATGAATGACCTTTACTTAAGATTTTGGTCTACGTTTGTGCTGCAGGTTCTAGGTGAATGCCCTCGATATATATCCTTTTATCTATAGCTGAAGAAAAACAGTTTGGCCTCTTTATCAACTAAACAATAAGAATGCTTTTGCTTTCTTCTAATGAAGCCCCTCTTTCCATGTAACTAAGTTTTTTGTATCATCTAATCTCGTACCATGTAAATCAGTTGTGGTGTTTGTTACAGTTATACCACCATTTTAATATTGGTAGAATATTCTTTTTAGGTTAACGCTTCTGTGAGGCTGAAATCCTGGTTCATATCCATTCTTTTTTCCTGGGTGAAGGCATACTTAAACTTATGAATATTCCTGCCTCGACTTAATATACTCCTGTCCATGTTGATGGTGGGAACATAATAATTAAACTTGTTTATGTCCCAATAGTTTTTTCTTTATTTTTTTAACTTCAAGTTACTTTGTTCGATAGTGATGAGATGATTTGCTATGCAGGTTGCTGCATTATCTGTGGCTTTATTCAGAGCTCTCAATTTGTCAACTAGGTATAAACTAGAAGGTTCCAACTACGTGATGGATAGGATTGTGTATCAAGAAGGATGGAAAATTTATTCATTGATAAACGTGAACAGCACAAGTCACCTTGTCTTAAGGGTCAATTTTTTCAAGGATGAAGAACATTAGCTGATTTATACTTTTCATTATCCAGAAATTTGTCTCCATTATATAGTCTGAAATCAAGTACAGAAGAGAACTTCTCATCTGAAATCAAGTACAGAAGAGAACTTCTCATTCTCAAGAAAAGATCCCTATCTCTGGACCTTGAGTAATGTAATTAAAATGGGCCTGATTTTTCTGAGTTGTGAACTTGTAATATGGTGGAAGTATTTAACTCAGTTGCTAGTCACCCTCTTGATTAACAGAACTCTCCAAATAATCTTCCAAAAACCTCAGTAGCTTGCTAATTTATTTTGCCTAAGAGTCGTAGAGAACTTTATGAGAAGGAAAGTGGAAGTTACCTAGGGTCTACGTCACATAAATAAATGCAAATATAAACTTTGGTATAGATAATGTTGATTTTCTTGTAATATAGCATTCCTATTTTTTGTATTATATCATTCATTAGTTAATCATCTGTTTAAGAGGTTTTTGCGTCTGTTTGCTAGGTTTTTGGCCATGTTGGATGTGACTTCCCTTAAACCTGATGCTGATCAGGCTGTTTATTCAAGTCCAGAAGCAGACGATTCAGTAAAGGGGAGGACTTTCAACTCTTCAAGGCCCATAGCCAACTTGGGAGATGTCTTTGCCAAGCTTTCTCCACAGGCTTCCTTGCATAAAAGAAAGCTCAACGAGGACATTGGTCTTACAAGTCCTCAAAATGAAGGGAAGCACATTAAAGAAAATGATACATCCTCTAAGGATAAAAGAACTGGCTATAAATCAAGTGATGCACATAGTTGTAACTTGGAAACAAATCATTTTAAAGTATCAAAAAGGAAGGGCGATGTAGAATTTGAGTTGCAGATGGAAATGGCTCTTTCTGCGACTGCAGCTGGTGTCTTTGAGAGTAAAGTAGAACAAGAAATGCAACAAAAACCTCATTCTTCATCAACCACTAATTCTAAGCTCAATATTAAGGAGAAGAAATTGAAAAGTGAAGTCATTAGTGAGAGAAATTCCTTTGCAGTCTGGTCAAGAAAAATGGGTCCGCCTTTGTATTGGGCAGAAGTCTATTGTAATGGAGAAACACTGAGTGGTAGATGGGTGCATGTTGATGCTGCAAATTCAATTGTTGATGGCGAGCATAAAGTAGAAGCTGCAGTTGCTGCATGTCGAAGATCGCTGAGATATGTAGTTGCATTTTCTGGAAGGGGTGCAAAAGATGTAACACGCAGGTTGTGCCTCAGCTTTTTGTGTATGTTTTCCTGAACCATGCAAAATAGACAATCTTTGGAAGATTATACTGCATTTCTAAAGTGGTCCTCACTTTGCCAAATTAAAGACCTGATGATTCTCTCACTTTAAATTTCAACCATGGCACTCATATATTATAATTTTTGTTAGTAATAAGGATATGGCAGTAGTAATAGTAATGATGATAATGATAATGATAATGACAATGATAATGATAATGATAATAATAATGATAATGATAATGATAATGATAATAATGATAATGATGATAATGATAATGATAATAATGATAATGATGATAATGACGATAATAATAAAAATAATGATAATGATAATGATAATGATAATGATAATGATAATGATAATGATAATGATAATGATAATGATAATGATAATGATAATGATAATAATAATAATAATAAGTTGTTGTTTTTTGGTAAGTAAAATGGTATTTGGTATAGGTGAACAGAGTACAAAGGAACTGTGCAAGAATAAAAATTATTAAAAATTTCTTATTATTTGCCATGTGAAAATTTGAGATTATAGTAACGGATGAAAAATTCAGATTCTTTTTGAGAGACTCGTGTATGAAAATTATTCATGGAACTGTTCATGGTTATATTGCGCATTTTGTTCCTTGTCATGATTTGCTTGCATTTATTAATTTTCTGTGCTTCCCATAGGACAGAGGACACTATGAAGTCTGATGTTGAAGAGGTTTTAGACACCGTCTGGTTTTCTTGTAATTTGAATTATACCTTCCGACCTTTGGTGTAAAATTGAGAGTGCATAATACTTCTCAAAATTTATTTTATTTCTAAAAATCAGATTTGAGATGAAATTTTGAGGCTGTGTGCACTTCATTGGGGCCCACCTGTAAAAAATATGCAACTAAATCAATAAAAATAAACTACCCAAAATGCCCCTGCAAGTTTAAGGGGTACTTTGGTCATTATATTTCCTAAATTATTTTTTTACATATTTTTCACAGGTTCATGAGGATGAAAAGTAGAGACGCCCAAAATTTGAGCTCAATATTATGCATAGAAAAAAATAAAATAGAAATACCTAGACATGCTTAGTACGTGTCCAATTTAAGATCGGGCTGTTCATTTTACTATAGAAAAAACACTTTGAAGCATTTGTAGATTTTGCCTATATATATATATATATATATAATATATGGGTAAATTTTATGTAGTGCCGAGGCTCTAAACAATGAAATTGGAGCCAACCACAAAAAATTCACTAAAAGAGGTTGTTTTGATGCCCAAATATTCTCAAATTGATCATCTCGACATCAAGATGTATGGACATGAAAAAAAAATGGATTTCAAGATTTGGAAATATTGTATTTTGTAACGCATTTTTGGACCGTCAGTTTTCAAGATTTTCAAGATTTTCAAGTTTTCATAGATCTATCGATCTACACTATTTTTGAAGTTTTAAAATTTATAAATAAAAATGAAAATATATTTTAAGGCTATAACAAAGATTTCCAGTATTGAAATCAAATTTCTCGACCCGATTTGAAGATAGGCTCTATATTGATTGATTAGAGGCTAGGCTCTATACAAACCGCACCCTATATATATATATATATATATATATATATATTGGAATTGACTCACTAAAATTTCACAATGATCCAGTGAGAAGAAGTTATATGTATTGGAATTGACTCATTAAAATTTCACAATGATCTGGTGAGAAGAAATTGAATATTGACACCACTAGAGTAGATGTCATTTCTTAGTATTATGTAGATACTGATACAATTGTTAGAAGTGTCCAGTATGTATCAAAAGTGTCTAATACTTTGGGTCAAAGTAATTATGGCGTTAACATGTCTGGTCAATATTTGTATAAAAATTTCATATGAATTAACTGTATTAAAATCCAAAAATTATACAAAATCAAAATTATAAATCTAAAACATAAAAGATAAATTATGTCATATCAGAAATTAAAAAATCATTTTCATGTGATTCCTTTTTTTTCTTCAAAATGATGCTTTTTGTATTGGCTATTAATAATTAAAGTTTTGAATGCTATACAGTAGTTTCTATTCATCTATAGTTGTGGACTGTACACTTAAGTTAAGCAGGTTGCGGGTTCAAAATACACAACCTTCACTAATTCTTTTTCTCCCAAGATACATAGTGTTTGATAAGTCGAGAGTTCATGTCTGGCGTGTCTGACAAAGCTGACAAGGTGTAGGATCTGTATTTGTCTTTTTCGATACGTGTCGATTCGTAACATAAAGGCAAACTGAAGTACCTGTGTAACACCACTTTTTATGCAGATTTTGGTCTGACTCTTGATTTTCTTTTATTATAATTTCATATGCCTCCCCACAGCCTAAAACTGAGAATAATGTTAACATAACTCAAAAGAGGTGAAAGATAAAATGTCTGATGAAAAGTTTTGTACGATGAAAATGAAACTACATATTTGAATATAGGTCTCTCTCTCTGTCTCTGTGTGTGTGTGTGTGTGTGTGTGTGTGTGTGCATTTGCCTATTTACATTATTCTTGGATGCTCGTGTGATTTATGGACACTTCTCAGTCTAATATTACTTGTGTTACCCTTCAGGTATTGTATGAGATGGTACACTATTGCATCACAGCGTATTGATTCAGAATGGTGGAGTGCTGTTCTGAGTCCTCTGAAGGAGTTGGAGTCTCGGGCTGGTGGAAGTAATGTGATGCATTTAGATGTGCCCCTTACTGATAATGCTGTAGAAGTGAAGGAAGGGTCGGGGAGAGCATGTGTTTCTCCCGAAGCTCATCTGAAGGAAGGATCGGGGAGAGTATGTGTTTCTCCTGAAGCTCATCACATTGAAGAGAATTCTGAGGCATTAAAGGAAAAGACGCCTCAGGATATCTTCAGTTCAGCTGATGGGCTTGGAGCAGGAGTGTCTAGGCATGCAAGCTCGAGTATCAATATTGAACCTGTTTCAAGGGGTGCTCTTGAGGATATGGAGCTTGAAACAAGAGCCTTGACCGAGCCCCTTCCATCTAATCAACTGGTATGACATATAGAATTCATTTAAGTGTCTCCCTCCCTCCCTCTGGCTTTCATGTGAAGGCTCCTTATTTTCACAAAATGGACTTGTGAAACATATGCATTAATGATGGTTGCTGGAAATTTCAGGCATACAAAAACCATCCCCTTTACACTATTGAAAGATGGCTCACCAGGTATCAAGTGCTTTACCCAAAGGGTCCTGTACTTGGATATTGTTCGGGTCATCCAGTTTATCCACGAATATGTGTGCAGACACTGCACACTAAAGAGAGATGGTTATGCGAAGGCTTGCAAGTTAAAGAAAATGAATCTCCTGCAAAGGTCAGGGTTCCACAATTTGGGGAATGCATTTTCAATTTCATGTCCATTTCATAATTTTGAGGCCGAATCTTGTGTATGTGTGTGTGGTTGGTGGCATGGCCCTGGCTGGGGTCCACATCAGTGAGTCAGACTGCAGCCGAGTCCAAATCAGACTTACCCGGGTCTTTAATAAATTGAGTTCTAAAGCAGTGTGTGTGCATGCACGCACGTGTATGTGCATGCACACACGTGTCTGTGCATGTGCATGTGCATGTGCATGTGTGTGTGCATGTGTGTGCACGCACGTGTGTATGTGCATGTGGGGTGTGTGTGTGTATGTGTGTGTGTTTGTGACCTTGTGTGTGTGTGCGTGTGACCTTGTTTCCTGTTTTCCTTACAGGTGGTCAAGCGCTCTCGGAAAGTTAATAAAGTGCACACTTCTGAGCATGGTTCCACTGTGGATGGTGGTGAAGGGACTATTGCCCTCTATGGCAAGTGGCAGACAGAGGTATTGAATCTTCCTCCAGCTGTGGATGGGATGGTCCCAAAGGTAAGCACCCAAGTCTTGAGGTTATCTATGATTGTGAAACACTGTTACAAAAATGATTATGGTTACTTATGTATGCATATAGTACTTTTCTTCTTCTGATAAAAATGTCTTCATGTATTGCTATAGATGTCTGGCAGTGTAATGCATTTATTGTTGAATAATAAAAGTAGTAATTATAAATAGATGTACATTAGTTATAAATTAATTATGCCATATTATATTTAAATTGTAATTGTGGAAATGTAAGTGGATCCCTGTTCTTGTTTTGATTACTCGCTGTGATATTCACGTAAATAGATCTACTCAATACTGGTATAGAACAAATCTATGTGAAGCTTTCCTCAAAATTTGGATGAGATGGATTTTCAGTGACATTTAAGTATTGTATCACAGCGACCAACCTAATATGTTTTGACATATTTTTGCTTAAAGCATTCTTCTGACATCTGTAGTGAATATTTTCAAGTTTTGACATCAAGGCTCTATATCATGATAATTTTGACTTACCATGCCTCTCATTCCTAATCTAATGCAATTCACTAATAAGTAACTTGAGAATTACAGTCATGCATCACCTATTCCGTATTGCCATCAATTTATATGTAGTTCTAAGTTCTAATGGGGGACCATGTCATTGGCATGGGAATTTCATGTTCATTTCATCAGTGTTTTTTATTGAAATGTTGGTTGGATCTCATTTTTGGTTGGATATTGTTGGTGTTTTAACTGCTAAATTGTTCCCTTGCCAGAATGAGCGTGGTCAAGTGGATGTGTGGTCTGAAAAGTGCCTCCCTCCGGGAACAGTGCACTTAAGGTTTCCTAGGCTGGTGCCTGTTGCAAAAAGGCTTGGAGTTGATTTTGCCCCTGCAATGGTGGGTTTTGAATTTCGCAATGGCTGCTCAATTCCAGTTTACGAAGGCATCGTTGCATGTGCCGAGTTCAAAGATGCAATCTTGGAGGTAATCCCTAGGTATAGATGATGAAATTCTGGAACTGTCGAAGATTTGAGTTGATAAACTGAAAATAAATGTGAATTACTTTTCTCACTGAGGCAGTCCATGCTATTTATATTTCCTACCACATAGGGCGCTATTTTCCAAAATTACAAGACCTTGCTTTGCTGTTTATGCTAGTACTATCCATTGGATGCCATGGAGGGGCAGTTCTTTATTTATTTATTTATTACCTATTTATTATCTTCTCTTAAGCAGGCATATGCAGAAGTAGAAGAGAGAAGGGAAGAGGAAGAAAAGAAAAGGATGGAAGCCCAGGCCCTGACTAGATGGTATCAGCTTCTATTCTCTTTCATAACTAGGCAAAGGTTGAAAAGGTCTTATGAGACTCCATCATCATCACAAGTCCCCATTAATGCCACCATACCCAATGTTGGTGATGATCCATGTGCTTCTTCTCAATCAGAGGCTAATGCGATGCAACATCATAACCAGCGAGGTGGCCAAATTGCCAATGATTTAGAAGAACACGAGCACTCGTTTCCATTGGAGAATGAGAGCTACGATGGGGAGAGTTGTGTCAGAACTAAACGTTGTGCATGTGGTTTCTCAATTCAAGTGGAGGAACTCTAGTAATTACTCGGCATTTCAATACATTCCTTTGTTTAGGTTATTTTCCTTTTAAAAAGCCAGCCTGTTTCTATAAATATAAGCAATTGTGCAGTAGACTGTTTGTGATTATGTGAATCGAGTTTTGGGTAGTTTGCTAGGATTGAGAACTAGCTGCTTCTAGCAAGTGGTTCATCATCATCTTCGAAGTCTTTTCTCAACTAATTGTGGTCGGCTAAATGAATCCTAGTTTACCATTATACCCTATTGAAGGTTATACTCTCAGTGAGGTCTATAGCGAGTGATTAGAGAAGTTCGAGTGATCATTGACTGGGTTCTGTATCATTGGGAGTTATCATCGCCTCTTGCAGGAAAAAAATAAAAATAGGTTTAAAGTGCATAATGAAGTTTGAGTGAGTTTTCTTTGAACTTTGAAGTTAGTCAATGATACGTTCACAACTATCCGATTTGAAATTTGACGGACAAGAACGGCGGTGACTTCGTTGTGCTAAAAATAAATGGTTTCACTTTTCCTTAAAAAATAATGGAAAAAGTTTATATAAGATGTCAATCTTATACTGTTCGAGTAAGGTGTACTTGAAAACCCACTAGAGAAGGTTGTCACAATGTTGGAAAACTCTCAAATCGATCATCTTGACTTCAAGATTCAGACACGAAGAAATCGGGATTTTTAGTCTTTAAAATAGTTAATCTTTTGACACATTATTTGGACTGTCCATTTTCAAGATTTTCAAGGGTTTATAGATCTGTTTCATCGTCACTATTTCTTGAACTTTAAATTTAATAATTTGAGGCAACAATATTCATATCATCGCAATGGCTTGTAGCATCGAAACTGCATTTTCAGCATAATTTTGAATTTGCACCTTACTTGAATAGTATTAAGGTTGACATCTTAACTAAGTTTAATAGAAAACTTCTTATTTTTGACCTCAAATCCCTACAATAATAATAAAAAAAGAGTTTATATAAGGTTGCAACCTTATCTCTATAGTTACAGATTCACCTAAAAAATCCATGGGAAAAGATAGTGAATGATCATCTCGACATCGAGATGTGTGACGATGAAAAATAAAAAGATTTTAAGTTTCAGAAATAGTGCATTTTATAAAATATTGTCTACACTGTTCATTTTCAAGATTTTCATATATTTATAGATCTACTTGATTTTAATCATTTTTGAAATTTAAAATTCTATAAATAGATATAAAAATAGATTTTGAAATAATCTTAAAAACATTTTACATCAAAATTATATATCATGATAAAATTTGAAGGCTTGCCTTACCTCTATAGCTACGATGCATCTGTATGCTAACTGCATCCATAAAAAAACGACATAAATAACCCTCAATTTGATATCTAAAAATAAAACAATAAATAATATGAAATTCATTATTGCTGAACGTGAAACTGCTAGAGTGAACTAAAAGTTTCGGTTCTTCAGATAAAATTTATAGTTGGTAAATGCCCCGTAATTATATCTTTCTCTACTCAATAAAGATTCTGGATGCCTCTTTATTCTAATCTCTCATGTAAATCCGAACTTATGAAAAAAGGGATTCATATAAGTTACACAAATGGGAGTCATGTTTCAGTCTCTCTCCTTGTCCAATCCTAGTTCGGTCTCTCTCTCACGCCCATGCAAAGGCCACCGTGGACAATTGTGGTGTATTTGTTTTAGAAATAAGGGTGTGCTCAGCAGACATGATGGTGCTACCTCGACCTCAAAACCAAGGTGTGTGAACGACTTAAATAAACTTTAAACCATAGTTATTAACATTTAATTGAAACGACCGTGGACTATCGACTGATGCCTAGTTAGGTCCAGTCTAAAGTAAAAATCATGTTCGGTAAAAAACTTGTAAAAAAAGCAGGTCTGATGTGCTGGTTTCAACTAATTTGATTGGTTTTGATTAGATCCCTTACTGGTTCAATCCAGATAAAATTGCTTTAAACAACCTCCAAACTAATCTAGAGTTTCATAAAAGCTTTAAATTCTCTTTGGATTTATTGCTCATCCAATGGATGGGCTACATCTAATTTCTTTAGACGAAATCACTTATGGAGAGGGAAAGACATTGTGTTTTTTGAGTCTCTTACGACCCAACAAAATGGTTTATAGGTGGGGTAGCACCAGCGGGTATGTTAGCTGTGAACGGAAGTCCTTTCGACTTAAATAACCCAACAAATTAAATTTAAAGTTTTACTTGAAGGGTAATGCTCAAGAAAAGTATGTAGATCGATTTTTTTAACACTGATTTAAAGTTACTAAGTATCACTTATAATTTCAGTGTTTTCAAACATTCCCCGATTGAAATGCGCTTCACATTTGAGACCGGATTACATGGCTGCAAGCTGTGTACCTTTGTGATAATTGTCTCCAACGAATTCATTTCATCTTTGTTTTGCCTTGATAAGTTTTGATGCATAATAACGTATGGGATTTTCTTCAAAAAGACCATTTATCTTTAGAATTATGGGTTTTTATTCAAAGAGACCATTTATCTTTGGAAAAAGTTTATATAGAGCCAAGGCTCTAAACGATTAAATTAGAACCCACCTCAAAAATTTCACTAGAAGAGGTTGTTTTGATGCCCAAATATCTTCAAATTGATCATCTCGACATCAAGATGCATGGACATGAGAAAAATGGATTTCAAGTTTTGAAAATAGTGTATCTTGTGACGCATTTTTGGAAAGTCAATTTTTAAGATTTTAAAGTTTTCATGATCTGCTCAATCTACAATATTTTTGAAACTTTAAATTTATAATTAAGTATGAAAATATATTTTAACGTGATCACGAAGATTTCTAGTATTGAAACCATATTTCTCGATGCTATTTGAAGGTGCGCTTTACTTTGATTGTTTAGAGCATTGGCTCTATACAAACTCCACCTTTTATCTTTTGTACATGGATGTCACAATCACTACCACTTATTAGATGTCAAATTGAATGATTTTAGGTGAGTCACAAAGCCTAATAACTTTATTTTTTGGAACTTTGTGTCTATTCACTGACACTCTTACAAATCACCTATTTTAAAATTTAATGGGCAGAGTGATTGTGAGCTCTATGTACAAAAAAATAAATAATCTCTTTGTAGATAATCCCTTTTTTTACGTCAATCTAAAACCAAAATCAGCCACTTTAACGATAGCTCTAAAATCTAATAAGGCAAACAATGAGTAAGGAGCCAATAATGGACATGCCTATTTGGATGGATATAAATTTTGGTGTTTTCAAAGTGGTCGCTCAAACCGACCATCCCCTGTGCCTTCAATGTTCGGTGGAAGTCAGCCGTTGTTTAAACATATATATGGCTCGCAACAACAGTCTATTGATAAGATGGCGCATGGACGGGCATCTCAACCAATATTCATAAAAAGTATTGTGCTCCCTTTGGTAATTTGTTAAGTATTAGAAATTATAGTCAACCTTATCATGTTAGTTTTTAAAAAATATTTATGTTTAAATAGTGTATAATTTGAGTTCATGTTTATTAATTTTAAGAAGAATATTATCTATTATAAACATTATACCGATTTAATATGTTAAAGTCCCAAACAAGGTTCCTAAATGATAAAACGGATAGTGCAAGATGGTTAAACTATCACATATCACAATAATATCTAGTAAATGGTAAAAAAGGATACGCACAATTGATATTCCCAATAAAGGAAAAAGTTTATATAAGGGACAAATAAGGTGCATCCAAAAATCCCACTAAAGAAGGTTGTTCCTATGTTGGAAAACCCGGTCATCTCGACCTCAAGATTCATGAAGATATGGAAAAAAAGGGATTTCTACTCTAAAAAATAGTTCATCTTTTAAAGCATTATCTAGACCGTCAATTTTCAAGATTTTCAAGCGTTTATAGATCTGCTTGATCGTCACCATTTTTGAAATTTTAAATTTCATAATTGGGGGCAAAAATAGAATTTCATATCATCACAAGGCTTTGCCGCACTGATATTGCATTTTGGACGTATCTTTGAAGTACACCTTACTTCAATGGTAAGGTACTTAATACACATCCTAATACATGCCACTAAGAGATGTGATGCCTCTAGAATAAAGAAAGAGAAAAGGATGGGAAAGTAGAAGAAGATGGCTACACCATCGCGCGTCACAAACCAACCGGATTTCCAATTCGGTTAACTAACGTCAAGGTCATCTAAGATCTACGTAGAATATACCACTTTTCTAGCTTATAAGTCATCTCCAAACACAAATAGGAAATTAAGCCGAATTATTGGTTTGAGTGGAACCAAAAACTACAAAATAATAATCTTGAAGCAACAAAACTGATGCACCCAAGGTGCTTCGATTTTCCTTTATTTTTTATTTTAATAGTATGCAAAAAGGAGAAGTGAAGTCAGCAAATACAATCCAACTCAAATCCCCACCAGGCGCCTTGCAACTTTTACATGTTTCATTATGACAACAATTTGCAATTTCACAACTCTCCTTTCAAACCATCCAAGCTAGTTTTCTATGTCCCCACCTTAATTTCCATAACATTCTTTTGTGAAAATGAAAAAAGATATTATCTTTTTAATTTAACAACGGGTACTGAAGCTGAACAATGAATGTTGTGGAGGAGCCCATGCATGTTGGCTCATTGATTTACAACTTGGATCAACCGGGCGTCTGGTCATTTGGGAACCCGGTCCAGATCGCCAATCTAATTGAATCTCCTAATGTGAGAATCAATCTATTAAAAATTTAAAAAATAATAAAAAATAAAAGAAAAAATAGGAAACCATGCCGTATTGCCTCACCACCGATCTACTGCAAAGTCGAACCAGTTTGCGACACTTGCTGGGAACCAATTCATCCCAAATCAATTCTCGACTTGGATTGATGATTCCCTATCTGACTCAGGTAGTTTTGAATCACTTTTTTGGCTAATGAACCAATAACTTATGCCAATCCAAAACTATAGTTATGAGTTAGAAAAAGAGAAAAATGCGAGTTATTTATTTATTTAACAAAAAGGTCTATAGGATCATTTTAAGATGGACTTTTGGTATTTTGGTGAATCACCATTAGATTATATATTTTCAGAAAGGGACAACATACAAAGAGACCATCTACTATTAGTACTCACAACCACTCTTGTCTATTAGATTTAAAATCAGGTGGTTATGAATGTGTCTTTGACTAGACTCAAAGTTTAAAAAAAAATTCTTTGAACTTCGTGACATACCTGAAGCTATCCAATTTGACATCTAATGGCTTAAAATAATTGTGACCTCCATGTAATACAGATAAATGATTCATAGTATGCAAGAGGTCCGAGATTGCCAACCTCAGACCGCCTCATGGTGTAATGTGAATAACGCGGTTCGAAGTTGGCATCCGCAGACTGCT